AAGGCGTTGATAGTCTTAGCTTTGTTAAACCTAGGTGTGAGCATAGTCCACTCTAAACAATGCATTTGGTTTCGAGACTATCAAGGAAGGGAGGCTAGAGAAAAGGGTGCAGTCAAATCTGATCACTGCCCCTTTAAGTGTGAGACTCAAGACAAATAAGCAGTATTATGTGTCTTTTCCAGTATAATGTTTTTTTCTTTTTGGCAACTCCCAAACCTGTCTGGTAGGGAATTTTCCAGCTGTCCTGGGCAGATCTCTCAGTGCCTACATGACCAGTCTCAGAGATCAGTTTGGGGTCATAGAGGGAACTCCACATGTATCCAAAATTTTATGAAAAATCACATATACTAACACTTTTGTTACTTTTTTGGCAATGGTTGTTTGGAATAGGTGAAGTATGTTTAGTATGTTTTCAGAACCAGGGCCTGGTCCTGGAATAAATGCAAAAAGAATAAAACATATATGCAAATATTATCATCACCATCATCACCACCATCATCATCTCGCCTTTGCCCCAGCTAGGATTCAAGGCAGCTTACAACAGTTAAAGCAAAAATAACTAAAAACTCATAGCATACAAATGTTAGAAATGTAATTAAACTACCACTTACTAAGCAACCAGTCACATCTTCAAACATGAACGAATCACTGGGTTGGAATGTTTGATTGTCAGAGGTCTATGAGAGTAGCACTGTACCATCTCTAGTGACAACCAAAGCAATTCTTTCTTGGTTGGTAGTTCCTAGATCTCAGGATCCAGTTTTGAGTCTTTGGCCCTCAACTTTCTTCTCTGCTAGTCAGGGTGAGGAGGAGGAATCTCAGGGTAAGAGCACTGTCTTGAAATGTGTGTGTGTACACATGTGTGTGGCCTTCATTCCTTAGATTATGGAAATTTTTCACATGGGGAAAAGTAATGAGAGTATGCTCCTGTCACTATCGTGCAATTGCAAGATGATTATCAGATGACATCACGCAACGCCTGACAATCTTCATGCAATTGCGTGATAGTGATGGGAGCATCCTGCTATACTCCCATTACTTTTTCCTGTGTGAAAATCTCCATGGTGTTTTTTATTTTAATGCTATTCTTTGTGTAATTGTGTTTGATACTTGATTTATTATGTTTAATAATATAACTATTGTAATATCGCTACAGTGACATCACAGATAGTAAATCCTAGGTCTTGAGTTTGGGCTCTGAAATATCAGAGCCTGGGATAGTCTTGACCTGACAACCCTTACTGGCTACATACTGTGGATGGGTGGGTGTTGTGTGTAGTTATATCCTCTCTTTCCACAAAAAAAGGTGCTTGGTAATTAACAATAATAAAATAACAATAATAAAATACAGGATTATGATGAAATTGTAAAGACACCTTAGTTGATACATATTGCTCAAAACAAAATAACACCGGTGAGCAGCAAATCAGCTTAGACACCCAAAGACTATCTGTGGTTGGA